CCACCAGCCCTCCCTCCCTTTAAAAGAATGTCCAAAATGATAGGCACTCGTAGCGCAATAAAGTGTCATGGGCTACATATTCGATCTTTACACTTTTTAGGGGGGCGAGAAGTATTATGGTGACAGTTCTCTTCCTTTCTGATTTTGCTTGAGAAAACAATTCTGAAATTGGTCTGCAGGTTTATTCCAGGGTGCTAGTTGAAACCGAGTCCTGACAGTGCTGCCATTCAAACTGAGACCACCGAGTCCTGTCAGAGCTGCCATTCAAACTGAGACCACCGAGTCCTGTCAGAGCTGCCATTCAAACTGAGACCACAGAGTCCTGTCAGAGCTGCCATTCAAACTGAGACCACCGAGTCCTGTCAGAGCTGCCATTCAAACTGAGACCACCGATTCCTGTCAGAGCTGCCATTCAAACTGTGACCACCGAGTCCTGTCAGAGCTGCCATTCAAACTGAGACCACCATCCTGTCAGAGCTGCCAATCAAACTGAGACCTCTGATGTCAGAGCTGCCAATCAAACTGAGACCACCATTGTCAGAGCTGCCAATCAAACTGAGACCTCTGATGTCAGAGCTGCCAATCAAACTGAGACCACCATTGTCAGAGCTGCCAATCAAACCTAGACCATCACGGTCAAAGCTGCCATTTGAAAAAGAGACCACCACTGTTAGCTCAGCACTACTCACTAGGGCTACACAAATGCAGCCTTCCATATTCATTCCTCACAACAAAGATTAGACTGACTGACAGACAAACAGATAAAGCAAAGACATAAATGAATAAACAAACTTTATTTTCAAAGCGTAACGAAATGGGAACACAGGCCCGTCTGTCCACTTAGCAGCTCTTGACTAGCGATTAAGAAAGAGCTCACTGATAAAAAACAATCAACATTTGACAAACTGTTTTTGTTTTTTGTGTGTAAAAAGGAAGCAAAAGATGAACATCCATTTATAATTCAGCCAACACATGCTTTACTCAACAGGAAACAAATTAAAGCTTATTTTCAAATCAGACTCCAACTCTGGGATTTAAAGGTACCTATGTCTTGTTTAGTCTGTCCTCTCCTAGCCTGGGATGTAAAGGTACCTATGTCCTGTTTAGTCTGACCTCTCCTAGCCTGGGATGTAAAGGTACCTATGTCTTGTTTAGTCTGTCCTCTCCTACCCTGGGATTTAAAGGCACCTATGTCTTGTTTCGTCTGTCCTCTCCTAGCCTGGAATGTAAAGGTATCTCTGTCATGTTAAGTCTGTCCTTTCCTACAGTGGGATGTAAAGGTACCTCTGTCTTGTTAAGTCTGTACTCTCCTACACTGGGATGTAAAGGCACCTATGTCTTGTTTAGTCTGTACTCTCCTACCCTGGGATGTAAAGGTACCTATGTCTTGTTTAGTCTGTCCTTTTCTACCCTTGGATGTAAAGGTACCTCTGTCTTGTTAAGTCTGTCCTTTCCTACCCTAGGATGTAAAGGTACCTCTGTCTTGTTAAGTCTGTACTCTCCTACCCTGGGATGTAAAGGTACCTCTGTCTTGTTTAGTCTGTCCTTTCCTACCCTGGGATGTAAAGGTACCTCTGTCTTGTTTAGTCTGTCCTCTCCTACCCTGGGATGTAAAGGTACCTCTGTCTTGTTAAGTCTGACCTCTCCTACCCTGGGATGTAAAGGTACCTATGTCTTGTTTAGTCTGTCCTCTCCTACCCTGGGATGTAAAGGTACCTCTGTCTTGTTTAGTCTGTCCTCTCCTACCCTGGGATGTAAAGGTACCTATGTCTTGTTTAGTCTGTCCTCTCCTACCCTGGGATGTAAAGGTACCTATGTCTTGTTTAGTCTGTCCTCTCCTACCCTGGGATGAAAAGGTACCTATGTCTTATTTAGTCTGACCTCTCCTACCCTGGGATTCGTCTTGTTTAGTCTTCTGAAAGAAATTAAAATAATTTAGAAATAAAAGCCACCAAGAGCAGACAGTCATTCTTTTCAAACGTATACAAATGCAGTGTAAACATGAGAAGAGACAGCAAATATTTATATCTGTAGACAGAGACATTGACCACTGAACCAGAGACAACAATTACTTCAGTACAGGACCTGTCTTCACACCTCCATAGAGGGATGTCTTCACACCTCCATAGAGGGTTGTCTTCACACCTCCATAGAGGGATGTCTTCACACCTCCATAGAGGGATGTCTTCACACCTTCAGACATAGAGGGCTGTCTTCACACCTCCAGACACAGAGGGCTGTCTCCACAACTTGAGGCATGGTGGGTACATGGTGTCAGCTCACAGTCTGACATTACTATTTGATTAGTTCTTCTCCTCCTGTGTTCGCCCTTAAAAAGACACTATGTTGTGTTGCGGTTTATAGCTATGCTGCGCCATCAGCGCCTTTCAGAAAACACATCTGATTTCTGCAAACGCCCAGTTAGTTGCTGTATATATATATATATATATAATATATATATATGTATGTATGTATGTCATCACGATTTCAATAAAATCATTGTTGGTACTACAAAAGCAAAAACAAAAGTGGAAAAAAAAAACCCCAATAAAAAACGCACATTGAGAAGTCTGCGAAGATATCATTCTTCTTCCAATTTGCCAGTACAGGATGTAGTTGTATTGTTGGAAGAAGGAAGAGCTGATAAAAAGTCTGGGAAGAAATTCTTCTTCCAATTTGCCAGTAAGGATGTAGTTGTATTGTTGGAAAAGGAAGAGCATGATAAATGTCTCAAGTCTGGGAAGATATCATTTTCTTCCAATTTGCCAGTACAGGATGTAGTTGTATTGTTGGAAGAAGGAAGAGCATGATAAATGTCTCAAGTCTGGGAAGATATCATTCTTCTTCCAATTTGCCAGTACAGGATGTAGTTGTATTGTTTGAAGAAGGAAGAGCATGATAAATGTCTCAAGTCTGGAAAGATATCCTGTCCTACAGATTTACTAAAAGACACAGCACAAACTGCACACCCCACAGACTTCAATTAGTTGCCAATCCTTTACAGGATGTTGCAGAACCAACCCAGCACTTTCTGGCTGTTGTGGTTTTTTAAGGCAAATTTACAGTAGTTCCATGAGCACAGACTACGGCCAGATTTGGGTACTGGCAAAGACAAGATGGTAGTTATGGATAGTCAGCTGTAATAAACTGTCTGCTGTACATGTCCCCTATATAACTAGGTGGTACATCAAATATGAGAGGTGTTCTCAAAGTACAGCCACACATTCTCTCTCTCTCTTGCAAACTTTGTGCAAAATGTATGCAATTAAGTGATATGTCTTTCACATATGCTTTTTTTTTAAACACAATCTCTGTCCACTGCTATGGCCTAATGCCAACATAAAGGAAGGGCTTGAAAGCTTTGTCCACAACAGTTTTTTCCCCTCCTGATTATGTAACCATTTCCTCACAGCTTGAATCACACCCTCAGGTCCATGTTGTCGCTTTAACTCTGTGAACCCAGCAACCGAGAGTGCTCCTAATGAGTTCACAATTTCCACACCCAGCACAACAACTGTTATGAATGTTCACCAGTTTCTGTTTGTTGTTGAAACATCCCACTGTGTGAAGGGAACATTTTCCTCATATGCTAGTTGACCTTACTTTCTACCCCACCAGGACATCACACAAGCGATAAACACCCGATGACACAAAGTGCCACCATGCGGATGAGGATCGCCGTGGAGAGGTCCCAGAAACCTTTTCAGACAATTGGCCATATTTATGGCCTGCCTATATTGCGGCCCGTGGCAAAAGCCAGGGTGGGGCTTCAAATAACAAAAAATTTCATCCTAAAAAGGACGAAACTGGAATTATATGCTAGTTAAAATTAGTGCAGCCTTTATCCTTGAAGGACTGACATGTGATTTAAGTATACACAATGCAGGCATTACACATTTAAAGTGTGCAAACTTTCAAGTTTAAATCTGGATATACTGACTGAGAAAGAAAATGTGGGAGCACTAGTCCGACTGCACCGGGTAGTGGACACAGTCAGGACCTGCAGACTGTGACTGTCAGTGATGACATCAAGAGGCAGAGACATTGTGTTAATATTCAAACATGGAAGACCACTCAATCTCTCACATCAACATGTGCCATGTTGATCAGCATATGATTTCATGTCTGGCCATATCAAACGATCATCACAATCACAGATCCAGCTACTCTGCACTCCATCTCTATGGACAACCCATCCAGGTATATAACCAGTCTGCCTTCCTCTTAATCTTTAATTTTATATTTTTACATCAATCTTCCCAGCTGTCATCGAGTTCTCGAGTCCATTGCATGTCACGCCTAAACTTGAACGCTTACAGAATGAAACCATGCGGGTAATTCAGAGTAGCAAGTATCACTTCAGAGGTCCTGGGTAGTTAGTATTCTTTGGATATTCTTTCCAGGTGATGTCAGTTTGTTGGGAAAGGAGCAAGCAGACAGACTGGCCAGTACTGCACAACTTGGTGGTGAACTGATGAATGACAAACTAGACGCTGTGGAAGCGCAAACAGATCCGAGGAAAATGGCGCTGCTAGAAGTTACCAGGGGAACTGGCTGATGCTCAACACTCAAGAGAAGGGCAAGATGGATGTACAATCAGACAGTTACGGGTGCCATTGGATCTCTTCGTTTGCTGCTGAAGATAGGGATGAAGCCACCTTTTGGAGTGTCCCTGAGTGCTATGATGTAGATTTGTAATTCTACATTCAACAACATTCATCTCATGTCTGACAAACATTGACTGCCTACGTCTAATTGTCTCTGGCTCCTGGGAAAGCCATAACATATACAGAAATGTTATATACACAAAACAATTCACCAATAATGATCTCACAGAAAGTGTGATGACTGTAAATGCTTTGCTTTACAGAAGATGTAAGTTCCACATATCAATACATTTCACTACTGTACAACCACCTGACTGTGCGACCATTAATACACAGGAACTGACTTTTACCCGAAGACATCTCAACGCAGGGACTTGTGCGGCTATGGCTAGTTTATTTCTTGCCCATGAAGCCGAGGATGATGATGAAGATATAGACAACATCAATATACAGCTGCAGAGCTCCATAAATGTACTCCTCAGGAGAAATCTCGTACTTGCGACCGCCCACAACTTGTTGGGTGTCATAGATGAGGAACTGTGGATGATCACACAGCAACAATCAACACAAACAATCTACACAAACAATGCAGAAAACAAATGGTTCTAAAAATACAAAGCATATCAGAACCAAAGAATTCACACACAAAAAAAACAGATAAAAAAGAGTTTACTAACATAAAAATTCAGAATGAAAAAGGAGGTACAAATTCAGGATGAAAAAAGGAGGAGTGAAACAGTGCACAAAATTAGACAGAGCTAAATGAAAAAAAAAAAGGCATTTAAAAAAAAATCAAGACAACAGAAATCACACACAAAGGGTTACGGTGTATTCATGTAATTTGTGTGTTTGAAGTAGAAAGTTTTTGGATTTCATGAAAGATATTTCACACCGTTTCTGTACACTGTTTGTATGTTTATTCAACCATAATGAAAGAATGAACACATACCAGGCCAAAGACCAATGCAGCCAGACCTCCGTACACACAGCTCATAATCTGTAGAGAGATCAATCAATATGTTATGTTCCCGTACTATGGACCACATAATCTATCAGAAGATAACTGATCAAGGTAATAATAACAATGATTTATAACACTAACATGATGACAGTGTTGTACATCATAATTTGCTCACACAACAGATCTCTGCCAACATGATGTCAGGTGTTGTACAACATAAGATGCTCACACAACAGACCTCTGCTAACATGATGTCAGTGTTGTACAACATAAGATGCTCACACAACAGACCTCTGCTAACATGATGTCAGTGTTGTACAACATAAGATGTTCACACAACAGATCTCTGCCAACATGATGTCAGTGCTGTACAACATAAGATGCTCACACAACAGACCTCTGCTAACATGATGTCAGTGTTGTACATCATAATTTTCTCACACAACAGATCTCTGCTAACATGATGTCAGTGTTGTACATCATAAGATGCTCACACAACAGATCTCTGCTAACATGATGACAGTGTTGTACAACATAAGGTGCTCACACAACAGATCTCTGCTAACATGATGACAGTGTTGTACAACATAAGATGCTCACACAACAGACCTCTGCCAACATGATGTCAGTGTTGTACAACATAAGATGCTCACACAACAGACCTCTGCCAACATGATGTCAGTGTTGTACAACATAAGATGCTCACACAACAGACCTCTGCTAATATAAACAAACCACTGGCTGTTTATCCATCCAGCTTCCAGGTGGGTAATATCTTTCTCCTCATCCAAACCTGTCAAGGCATGTGTGGAGTCTCAGTTTGCGTTAAATGGTAAGAAGTGCTGCCTGGTTGTCAGGTGTTATCTTTTTCATCATTTGTTCTGGTCATCCTCTGGGTCTAGATCCAGATATGTTGTGGTTGTATGCTTATATAAGAAGTTGACATCCTTAATAGTTCAACCCTGCAAACATAATCTGGTGATACCCCCCCGGCAATAACCCCATTTAATTTAACCGTACACACACATAATGTATATTTGCTGACATAAGCGGATGATATCTACACATAAAGTATCTTTGCTAACATAACCAGATGATATCCACACATAAAGTATCTTCGCTATCATAACGAGATGATATCCACAAATAAAATCTTTGCTAACATAACCAGATGGTATCCACACATAAAGTATCTTAGCTTACATAACCAGATGATATTCCCACATGAAGTCTTTTCTAAGATAACCAGATGATATCCACACATAAAGTATCTTTGTTAACATAAGCGGATGATATCCTACTTATTTTACTCAAAGACCTCATGTGAACATGATCAGAATGTCAAGACATCATTAATCCACTACAAGGGTCATCTTTAAAAGAGAAAACAAAAATCTGGCACTGTTCCCATTGAAACCCAGGCTTGGGATCCGCAGGCGTGCATCTAGCCGCTAAAACACAACTGCTCTCACAACAACTGTACCTGCTCTACTGACAAACAATGTTCATAAAAAGCTGCACGGACATGGAGACGGAGATGGAGACCTACCCTGCTGGAGCCTCCCCAGGCGTAGAAAGTGATCAGACAGGCCCAGCCGAAAAAGAAGAGCACCATGACCAGGACAAACAGCAGGCCGCTGCACATGGTGAAGTCAATCTGGCAAACACATGGGTCAACTGTCATGTTACAAGTCAAATGTATGTAACAACAAACAAACAAATGTCTCATCCGAATTGTTATAGGTGAGGTGTGTGTAACGACAAAATAATCATACGTCTCCTCTGTTGTCGTCTTCTTCTTTTTCGAATTCACCCGCTGTAAACTCTAGCGGAAAGGTCTGACTGTTCATCCACTTCAGGACAGCAGTCCTGTTTCAGATTCTAAGTGCTGCATGTGCATCCGTTTTACAGAGCTGACCCCTTTGTATGCAGACTGCTGGTTCCTTGCCTCTCAGGCAGATACACTCTGACTTCAAAGGAAGCTACCAATTAGTCGACTCTTACGACGTACTTTTGGGTAGGCAGTGGGTCTATTCTTGTTTTCCCTATAATAGAGCCCCGGAACCCACATGAGGGTCATCTGTTGTGTTAGGTGAGGTGTGTGTGTGTGTATAACAACAAAACAATCATACATCTCATCTGTTGTGTTATAGGTGAGGTGTGTGGGTGTGTATAACAACAAAACAATCATACATCTCATCTGTTGTGTTATAGGTGAGGTGTGTATAACAACAAAACAATCATACATCTCATCTGTTGTGTGTGTGTGTGTATAACAACAAAACAATCACACATCTCATCTGTTGTGTTATAGGTGAGGTGTGTGTGTGTGTGTATAACAACAAAACAATCATACATCTCATCTGTTGTGTTATAGGTGAGGTGTGTGTGTGTGTGTATAACAACAAAACAATCATACATCTCATCTGTTGTGTTATATGTGAGGTGTGTGTGTGTGTATAACAACAAAACAATCACACATCTCATCTGTTGTGTTATAGGTGAGGTGTGTGTGTGTAAAACAACAAAACAATCATACATCTCATCTGTTGTGTTATAGGTGAGGTGTGTGGGTGTGTATAACAACAAAACAATCATACATCTCATCTGTTGTGTTATAGGTGAGGTGTGTGTGTGTGTATATAACAACAAAACAATCATACATCTCATCTGTTGTGTTATAGGTGAGGTGTGTGGGTGTGTAAAAACAAAACAATCATATATCTCATCTGTTGTGTTATAGGCGAGGTGTTGTGTGTAACAACAAAACAATCATACATCTCATCTGTTGTGTTATAGGTGATGTGTGTGAAACAACAAACACTATATAAGTTAACATTGTGTTACTGTTGATGTTTGTGTGTAGCAAGAAAACATGTCAGTTAGATGTACTAACGAACCTGTATTACCTGTTGAGTTAACAAGCAGTACTATAAGCTGTCTATTGGTTTTACATATATAAAACAATACAGATTACCACCCTATGACACATGCTCAACTTCAACAGTCTACAAGATTTAGACCTCCTAACCATTCAACCACCCAACAAAACAGTGACCCTACCAACCACCCAACCAGTTCGCCTATTAAGCAACCAACCACCCGACCCATCAAGCAACCAACCACCCAAGCAAGCAACCACTCGCAGCCCATCAAGCAACCACTCGCAGCCTATCAAGCAACCAATCACCCAAGCAACCACTCGCAGCCCATCAAGCAAGCAAACCACTAGCAGCCCATCAAGCAACGAATCACCCAAGCAACCACTCGCAGCCCATCAAGCAACCACTCGCAGCCCATCAAGCAACCACTCGCAGCCTATCAAGCAACCAATCACCCAAGCAACCACTCGCAGCCCATCAAGCAAGCAACCACTAGCAGCCCATCAAGCAACGAATCACCCAAGCAAGCAACCACTCGCAGCCCATCAAGCAAGCAAATCACCCAAGCAAGCAACCACTCGCAGCCCATCAAGCAACCAATCACCCAAGCAAGCAACCACTAGCAGCCCATCACACAACCAATCACCCAAGCAAGCAACCACTTGCAGCCAATCAAGCAAGCAATCACCCAAGCAAGCAACCACTCGCAGCCCATCAAGCAAGCAATCACCCAAGCAAGCAACCACTCGCAGCCCATCAAGCAAGCAAGCAATCACCCAAGCAAGCAACCCACTCGCAGCCCATCAAGCAAGCAATCACCCAAGCAAGCAACCACTCGCAGCCCATCAAGCAAGCAATCACCCAAGCAAGCAACCACTAGCAGCCCATCAAGCAAGCAATCACCCAAGCAAGCAACCACTCGCAGCCCATCAAGCAAGCAATCACCCAAGCAAGCAACCACTCGCAGCCCATCAAGCAAGCAATCACCCAAGCAAGCAACCACTCGCAGCCCATCAAGCAAGCAATCACCCAAGCAAGCAACCACTCGCAGCCCATCAAGCAAGCAATCACCCAAGCAAGCAACCACTCGCAGCCCATCAAGCAACGAATCAAGCAAGCAACCACCCAAGCAAGCAACCACTCACACCCAAGCAACCACTCGCAGCCCATCAAGCAAGCAATCACCCAAGCAAGCAACCACTAGCAGCCCATCAAGCAAGCAATCACCCAAGCAAGCAACCACTCGCAGCCCATCAAGCAAGCAATCACCCAAGCAAGCAACCACTCGCAGCCCATCAAGCAAGCAATCACCCAAACAAGCAACCACTAGCAGCCCATCAAGCAAGCAATCACCCAAGCAAGCAACCACTAGCAGCCCATCAAGCAAGCAATCACCCAAGCAAGCAACCACTAGCAGCCCATCAAGCAACTAATCACCCAAGCAAGCAACCACTAGCAGCCCATCAAGCAAGCAACCAGCCACCAACACTGAAGAAGACTAACTAACCTTAGTCTGGATGGCAAACAAGGAGATGGACAGACACACGGCCGCTGTGATCCCAGCTGCCAGCAAAACGATTCCGGTGTCGTGAAAACTGCAGACAAACAACACAAATGCACATGATACAATGACATCAAGAGACAAACAACACAAATGTACATGGTACAATGAGATCAAGAGACAAACAACACAAATGTACATGGTACAATGAGATCAAGAGACAAACAACACAAATGTAGATGACACAATGACATCAAGAGACAAATAATACAAATGTAAATGATATAATGATATAACAAACAAACAACACAAACGTAAACGATATGACATAGCAAACAAACTTAACAGAAATAATGACATCAACAGACAAATAACATAAATGTAAATGATGTAATGACATCAACAGATAAACAACGCAAATGTAAATGATGTAATGACATCAACAGACAAACACAGATGTAAATGATGTAATGACATCAACGGACAAACAACACAAATGTAAATGATGTAATAACATTTTTTTAAAGCCATAAGCGTCCATCATCATCATCAGTATTATGCAGCTGCCACTTCTCGGTGAAGGTCAGAGAGCTAATGAGACATGGATATCCCAGTTGTCAGGGATAAGAGTTGAGCATTCCCTACATAACCCATGTCATGGTCATCTGTCTGTCTGATTTAATGTGAGCAGTGGCCATAAATGTCGACCAGCATCTTCTGCCTATCTCCCTGTGTGGAATCTTCCCCTCTGCAACAATGCAGCCTGGATACTTGAACTTTCAGAGATGTTTAGTCTGGTGTTGTTTATCTGTTCGTTTAGTTTGCAGGATGACAGGTTTCTGCAGTGTCAATGCTGACCAAACTGGTTCTTTACTGATGACAGGTTTCTGCAGTGTCAATGCTGACCAAACTGGTTCTTTACTGATGACAGGTTTCTGCAGTGTCAATGCTGACCTAACCGGTTCTTTACTGATGACAGGTTTCTGCAGTGTCAATGCTGACCAAACTGGCTCTTTACTGATGACAGGTTTCTGCAGTGTCAATGTGACAGGTTTCTGCAGTGTCAATGCTGACCTAACTGGTTCTTTACTGATGACAGGTTTCTGCAGTGTCAATGTGACAGGTTTCTGCAGTGTCAATGCTGACCTAACTGGTTCTTTACTGATGACAGGTTTCTGCAGTGTCAATGTGACAGGTTTCTGTAGTGTCAATGCTGACCTAACTGGTTCCTTACTGATGACAGGTTTCTGCAGTGTCAATGTGACAGGTTTCTGCAGTGTCAATGTGACAGGTTTCTGCAGTGTCAATGTGACAGGTTTCTGTAGTGTCAATGCTGACCTAACTGGTTCTTTACCACCAGTAAGTAGATACAAGTGTATAGTGTGAACAGCGTTAACAACACCAGCGAACAGATGACAGTAACAATGTTGAGAAGATGCATCTCTCCTGTGGCAACATACAGATGTTGAGTCCTGCAGCATCCCACGATCATCACAGACGGGAGCCAGGGTTCTGCAACTCTGAGCTAACATCAAAATGGAGAATGAAGTGGATGTCTTTTCCCAGTTTTGTGCAGGCTGCACAATGGCAATACAATTGTCTCTGGCAATATGACATCGTCAGGCCCCAGTGTCTTCCATGGTGCGACTCTCAAACCATTGTCCACAAACCAGTGGAATAGATTTTTCTAACTCACCCACCTTGGAAACTAAACCCTGGTACACTGAATCCCCATGTGAGTTCTGGTGCCCCATTGTGGCGGGGACAAAGCATGTCGTAGGAGTCGACTTTCTTTGAAGTGCATCTGTCCGTGTGGCAAGGAACAACCAACTGCACATAAATAAGCCAGTAAAATGGATGTACATGCAAAATTCAGGTGCTGGCATGCAGCCAAAGTCCAAATGGATGAACAATCAGGACTCTCCACCGGAGATTACAGCCGGTGAACAAAAAAGAAGAAGGTACACTGAGGATTGTAAAAGTGCCTATTGAACTCTACACCACAGCACTGCTTGATCAAATCTGAAACATTGTGACTGTTTTCAGGCTAACAAAAACACAGGGACAACTCTCCTGCTACGACAAGTGACACAAACACAGGGACAACTCTCCTGCTTCAACAAGTGACACAAACGCAGGGACAACTCTCCTGCTACGACAAGTGACACAAACACAGGGACAACTCTCCTGCTACGACAAGTGACACAAACACAGGGACAACTCTCCTGCTACGACAAGTGACACAAACACAGGGACAACTCTCCTGCTACCACAAGTGACACAAACACAGGGACAACTCTCCTGCTATCACAAGTGACACAATCACAGGGACAACTCTCCTGCTCTCACTGTCAAACACAGGGACAATGGAGACTTCTCACCTGCTGATAGTTGCCGCCATGTAGGAAAAAGCCAGAGTCTGCAAGGACACAGATTTGAACATGAGACTATAGCAATCATGCGTGAGAGGATAGACAGACAAGTGCAAGAGGATAGACAGACAAGTGCAAGAGGATAGACAGGTGTGTGACATGTCTTGCTGGTGCTTTCATAGTTTCTCTCAGCACAAAGGATAAACACAAATGACTGGTGAAAGGATTCAACTGTTTTTGCAGGATCACACAGATTCAACATTTCTCATTACATGCAGGATCACATAATTCAAAACCTTTTTCAACACCCATGAGCACCCAAACATTTCTTGGTTCTCTTTCACAGAGAGAGACACAGAGAGAGAGAGACACAGAGAGAGAGAGAGAGAGAGAGAGAGAGAGAGAGAGAGAGAGAGAGAGAGAGAGAGAGAGAGAGAGAGAGAGAGAGAAAGAGAAAGAGAGAGAGAGAGGAAGGGGGAATGGAAGGAGACACACTGACAGAAAGAAACACAGAGAAAGGAAAGACATAAGCACAGCGATAGAGACAGTTTGAGAGAGTGGAGGCTGAGAGACACAGATGAAGGGGAGGAGAAGAGAAAGAGAGAAAGTGGGAGAACAGACACTGACAGAGAGAGACAAACAGAGAAAAAAAAAGACTGACACTGCCACTGAAAGACAGACACTGATACAGAGACAGACTGACAGTGTGACAAAGACAAACAGAAAGAACAGACAGACACAAACAGAGAAAGAAAAGACAACAGGACTGATAGAGACAGACAGAGAAAGAAAAGACATAGGGACAGTGACAGACAGACAGTATGAAAGAGAGAAGAAACATACTGACAGTGACAAAGCGGGGAAGAGGAAGTAAAAAATAAAGCACACATCTACTTACAAACACAGCAAGACAAATCAAGTTTCCTGGATACTGTCGCCTGAAAGGAAACACAAACATAGAAATCAGGGTCAAATACACACAGGTGAATGTGAGTCACATCAAAGATGCTGTCCCTGTCCTGTGCAGGCAAGTACTTGTACAGATACAAACACCACTTACAGTCACAAGGTCATGATACTAGCAGAGTCACCCCCCCCCCCCTAACCGACACAAGACCAACCATCTGTGCCACCAACCACATGTACTACTGAACTCATACATCACAAGCTGGATGTTTTAAGTGCCATTTGGGGTGGGGCGAGTAAACAGTGCGGAGGCATAGCTGAATCATCACAGTCTGAGGAGAATGGTGCTACGAAAAGTGACCACAGGATCAGGTTGACGATCAACACTTAAGGGAAAGGTGAGACGGTCAGGCTGTTACTGGTACCCTTAGAACTGGAAGTCCACGCTTGCTGCTGGAGATGGGGACATAGCCCTTATGCAAATGTCCCGAGTGCTATGATTCAATTCTTAATTAAACATCAAACACACAACATACAGAATGATTACGTTCTGGTCTGGATATAGAATGATTAAGTTATGCTCTTGATGTGGAACTTTTTTAAACACCACACCCAGTGTAAGAATGAAGGTGGAGGTGGTCACTGTGGCTCTGAGATGGCTTGCTGGGAATAATTCACTGAGGTATTCATTATAACTGTCTCTTGGTCAAAAACTGGTTGATGCAGTCATCACACCTACAAGAGATCAATGACTCTTCTGTCTAGGTGCTGGGGTACAAGGAAAAGGAAGGGCCAATAGGCTGTCTCTACTCAGGGTTGACAGAAAGGAAAGCCAACAATAGACTGGGTGACACAAGGATAGACAATGCTTGTGGCTGACATTGACAGGATCAGGAATCTAATTTAACACCAGCAGGAAGGATTATGGTAGAGAAATTAAGGAGAAGTGTGATCACTGGAACTATAAGTGGCTAGACTCGTCAACATCTTCCAACAGACTCTTCAACAGCTTCCAACAGAGACAGGACTCATCTGAGCATGCCCCAGGTCCTGTGACATCTATGCTACACAGAAATGTATATTTTGAGAAGTTGCAACTGCTGGAGCCACTCCAGGTGGCAGGAAGTTAGCTTAGGGTCATGTTTGAATCACTTTATGTGCTGCATGTTATAGTCAGAGTACAACAGAAATGAAGCCTAAATTATTTTGAAAACAGCAACATAGGCTGACAGCTGTAAGTAATTAACAGAAAAAAAAAGGGGGAGGGAGGGGTCACTTCAGAAAGTCAAAAATTTTTCTTATAGTGGATTTCAATAATGCGGAAAAAACAATACATTGTTATTTCTTACCTTTAAATGTTCATGTAACTCTGTAGTAATGCATCTGACGAGATACAGCAAAATCTGCCTGGCAATAAATTGCGCAACTGTATTGTTTGTGCCCACATAAAAAAAAAAAACATTTATTGTGAAACAAACAAGAAACAGCGCAAACTTGACCAAACAAACAAATGGTTCTGTAGTAACAAAAATAAGTCCGGGATGAAGATGGTGGAGGAGATGATGATGATGATGAGAACATACCTGACACTGGGGCAGCAGGCCAAGGTAATGTAGAACACCAGAAACAGTCCGCTGCGGGAGGAGGAGGAGACATCAGTTGTGTGGTTAGTATGTGTCTTACATTTCTATGAGACAGAGGAAGGCAGAGAGGGCATGTGTGTATGTGTCTGTGAGACAGAAAAAAACCATGATAAGAGAGGACTGAAAGTGGGGGGGGGGGGAAGAGACAGAGAGAGAGAGAGAGAGAGAGAGAGAGAGAGAGAGAGAGAGAGAGAGAGAGAGAGAGAGAGAGAGAGAGAGAGAGAGAAATGTGCACTAACAACAACAGTCAACTGATACTGCGAAAGCTCTACAATGCCTGAGTGACAGACTGGTCAGTAGAAGAAGCTGGGTGCTGCACTGATCTGTCAACACAAGATACTGTCTACCACAGGATCAGATTCTGATCTCTGGGCATGCTGACCTCTTCCAGCTGATTCTGCAGAGAGGCACACCGCAACAACAAAAAATCAATCATCTTTCCTGGTCTTTCTGTGTAAGTCTGAATTGCTTGCCCCACCATTTCAGCCCATGCCAGCAACCACTCCATGAAGTGTTGACCATTCCATGCAATGTTGACCATTCTATGCAGCAGTGCTGACCACTCCATGAAGTGTTGACCATTCTATGCAGCAGTGCTGACCACTCCATGTAGTGTTGACCATTCCATGCAATGTTGACCATTCTATGCAGCAGTGCTGACCACTCCATGCAATGTTGACCATTCTATGCAGCAGTGCTGACCACTCCATGTAGTGTTGACCACTCCATGCAATGTTGACCATTCTATGCAGCAGTGCTGACCACTCCATGCAATGTTGACCATTCTATGCAGCAGTGTTGACCACTCCATGCAATGTTGACCATTCTATGCAGCAGTGCTGACCACTCCATGCAATGTTCACCATTCTATGCAGCAGTGCTGACCACTCCATGCAATGTTCACCATTCTATGCAGCAGTGTTGACCACTCCATGAAGTGTTGACCAAATGTGTGATGTGCCTCAGATTATGGGACGTCTACTTGTGTAAAACCATTTCCTGTCGCTGAATGTGAGATGCATTTATAACAGTGATATTGTACATTCAAGTAGGTGGACATACAAGCACACATACTCAAACATAAACATAGAACTTACTATGCCAGTAAATAAAACCACATATTTTCCTGTACCCATCGCTTCACTGAGTCCCTGCCGACAGAAACAAACACACAAGTTAGTGACAAGTCATGTTTGAATTAATCACTGTCATCATAATAAGGCTAGTTCTTCACAGAAAGTCCCTCTCATCACATACTGCCAGACAATAGACTCCTAATCTCTCACACAGTTCCTGCACCATCAATGTCATGCCCTGGCTGTCTTGATTATCCTTCGTCCACGAAAATACAGTCTGGACGAGAACTGTCTTCTATTGACCATTCCTTGCATTACTTGGACAGTGGAGCCTTTGCTTCTACCACCAGTAGCATACCATTGGAGGTCATGGCTGTGACAAAGGCTCTATAATGGCTGCAAAATCAGGAGTTTGTTTGTTGAGCAGCTCAATAAATAAGCATGTTACAGAATATCAAGGCAGGGTATATATGGAAACAATGGCTTCTTCTAATACAGTATGCAGCGCAAAATCACTTTTTTTCCCTGGGCATGCTGGTATGGAAGGCACTGAGAGAGCAGACACGCTGGCTGGGAGTGTGACTATTCAGAATAGGCCTTCTATTGACAGGAGAGACATTATAAATACCATACGAGAGACTTAACGTTGTAAGGCTTTTTGTTTCATGAAAAATGATTTTTCACCGATAGGCCGCATACCCTGGGTGTACCAATTAGAGCTGTGACAGCAGGCAAACCATGCGGGAGCCACCTGTTGTTACATCAACCAGGACAGAATGGGAATTGTTAGCCTAGACAGACTTGGGGAGATACCCCACTACTGTTGTGCGTAACCCACCGTATAATTTGGTGTGGTCAAAGTATTTCTATTGTTGAGCCAGTCTGCTCCGATGTTCTGTTTTTGACAAGCGTCACTCGTTGCTTCTCTCTAATCCACATTACTCTCCCAATGTTTCTGTATGTTCCAAAGTGTTTGCTTTCTTCTGAAGTGTTTTTGACATAAATGTTGAAAAAAATGCAAAACGGTCTTATTCTGTTCTTTTCATCTCAAACCAGTGTGATATTTCACCAGTTACTCTGAGAGCCGGTTGTTGTTTATAATGACACTGCAAAGTGATCTCATGAAATATAAAGGTAAAAACTGTAAGTAACTGGTAAATGTTATATATATGTTACAGTTATCTAACAACACTCAACAGTTGCCCAATTGAACCCTTTGGTTTTTCAAAAGAAGAATGGGAGGCAAAGTGGACCCCTGATATTAAAAAATCACTAGATATAGTTTAGTTGTGCAAGATAACTCTCATAAACCAAGGAGCCCAAGAACTGTATTCTCTGCCCCTGACCATGCCTTAGCAGTCCATGTGGGCGTCTTGGACAAGAGCAGCCATTAGTTCTGAAAGCTTCTATCTACCCACGTGAGGCTTCTTCAAAACCTGCGGGGGGGGGGGGGGGGGGGGGGGGGGGGATATTAGATAATAGACACACAGCCCCCTAACCAGCATAGGGTAAAAGTGACTATTCAGAGATTTGCTGAAATCTGAGCCTCCAAGTCAAAATGGGGGAGGGAGAGGGGGGGGGGGGGGGATCGCAGCCTCACTGAAAACTACACAACACCATGCAAGCTACCCTCTAAAGTGCAAAATAAGAAGAAACTGTATTGTACATAAACAACTACAAACTAATGACGTAAACATAGTGTTTACTGATATCTACATGCATATGCTGACATCATCTTGTACTTACACAAATATAAACAGGCAGATGAAACTGAATGTGACCAGCAACTGGGTAAACAGGATCATGTACACCTGAAGGAAAGAACACACAAAAACAGGTGTCAGTCAGGCCAGACTCCAGCCAGACCATACATGTAGTCAGCTACAACTGTTGCTTTTGGCAGCATGGTCATCTTCTTGGTGGAATCACTAATTCATTGCGATAACAACAATCCTATCTGGTACAACAACATGACACAAACTGCTACAGGAGTCGAGGACACAAGTCACCTTCTTCTTAGCGTCTGCCAGCTGTAAACTCCAGCAGAAAGTTCTGGCTGTTCGTCCACTTCTGGACTTTAGTCTTATTCCAGAACCTGTGCACACATTCGTTTTACAGATCTGGCTTAATAGTATGCAGACTGTTCCTCACCTCTTAGGTAGATGGTCTCTGAAGGAAGCACCCAGTTAGCTGCCTCTTGAGACAAGCTTGTCTGGGAGGCAGTGGGTCTATTCTGGTCCTTCCTACAATAGGGCCTGGAACCAACTTGGGGAACGTATTCAAACTACTAAATGTTTTAGCCTACACTGTCAGTTACTGCCACCTGGCTAACAGTGTGGCTACATGACTTACAGCATTACTACTTTACCACATGAACACAAATTGTTCTATTTTACTGCTTTCCCTCTTGTCTGTGCAGCTATGTGACCACAGTATTGTTATTTCCCTGACAGTTTTTCTACTCAACTGTTAGCTATGTGAACACAGTATTGTTATTTCCCTGACAGTTTTTCTACTCTACTGTTAGCTATGTGAACACAGTATTGTTATTTCCCTGACAGTTTTTCTACTCAACTGTTAGCTATGTGAACACAGTATTGTTATTTCCCTGACAGTTTTTCTACTCTACTGTTTAGCTATGGGAACACAGTATTGTTATTTCCCTGACAGTTTTTCTACTCAACTGTTTAGCTATGGGAACACAGTATTGTTATTTCCCTGACAGTTTTTCTACTCAACTGTTTAGCTATGGGAACACAGTATTGTTATTTCCCTGACAGTTTTTCTACTCAACTGTTAGCTATGTGAACACAGTATTGTTATTTCCCTGACAGTTTTTCTACTCAACTGTTTAGCTATGTGAACACAGTATTGTTATTTCCCTGACAGTTTTTCTACTCAACTGTTTAGCTATGGGAACACAGTATTGTTATTTCCCTGACAGTTTTTCTACTCAACTGTTAGCTATGGGAACACAGTATTGTTATTTCCCTGACAGTTTTTCTACTCAACTGTTAGCTATGTGACCACAGTATTGTTATTTCCCTGACAGTTTTTCTACTCTACTGTTTAGCTATGGGAACACAGTATTGTTATTTCCCTGACAGTTTTTCTACTCAACTGTTAGCTATGTGACCACAGTATTGTTATTTCCCTGACAGTTTTTCTACTCTACTGTTTAGCTATGGGAACACAGTATTGTTATTTCCCTGACAGTTTTTCTACTCCAACTGTTTAGCTATGGGAACACAGTATTGTTATATTCCTGAAATTTTCCCCTGAGAATATAGTTTTACTGTTTCAGTGAAATGCTGCTTGCTACTTTACAGATACTTTAGTGGCAGTGTACACACATGTGGATCCCTGCTGGTGCTACAGGGCTTGTGTGCTGTGCTGAGATTATCCTTGTGTGATCTATGGGGAAAGTGAAACACCGATAAAGACTTCTGTGTACTGTGACAATGATCCTTTACAAAACCAAGCATTCTGAGAGCCAGGCACATCAGTACTGTTGTATGGAGCAGAAACATGGAGAACAACTCACACAATTACCAATAAACTACAAACATTGTTTAACTGGTACCTGCACAAAACAGTGGGAATTAAATGGTGTGACAGAATGACTCATGTTGAGCTTTGGGAGAGAACTAAACAAGTTCCAGTGAATCAAGGGGTGAGGAAAAGACGCTGGCTTTGGATAGAACACACACAGAAAACCTGACAACAATATCATTAGCAGGGCTAGGAACTGGAACCCACAAGGGCACAGAAATAAAGAAAGACGATAAAATAAATTATGGAGAAGGGAACTAGAGAGTAGAGTTAAAAAGATGGGAAAGACAGTGAAAGGAACAGCATGCAATAGCCAAAGAAAGGATGACTTGGCGTGAGTAGGTTGAGAGCCTATGCTCCATTAGGGGATAAAGGGCAGTAGCAGAGGAGGAAGAGACCACTCACAAAACAGACAACAAGAGCAATTCCTAACCTTGCGGATGAAAGCTCGACGAATTGCTTTGTTAGAAAATGAAGCGCCAAATAGGCCTTCATCATCAGACTTTGGCTGGGAGGCGTACTCAGTGTCAATAAACTGGGTGCTGTACCCAGGCTGGGTCGCATGGGTGCCAGGTGCTTGTCCATAGCCAGCGTTGCTGTAACCAGTCGATTGTGGCTGGGTGTATGCCTGTTGTGGCTGGGCATATGCCGGCTGTGGCTGGGCATATCCTGGTTGTGGTTGGGCATATCCTGGTTGTGGTTGGGCATATGCCGGCTGTGGTGGTGGAATCTGATAAGCTGTTAAAAAAAGAAAAACCCAATAGTTACTGAGTAAAACAGAAATACAACTGCAGAGATATTTGTAAATGTTTTTTACAGACTGGGTGGTTGTAAACTGTGTGAAGGTTAAGTGATACAACATGTGTGGGTGAACAATGTAACAGAAAGTGGGGGTACAATAGGCAGAACTGGTACATCACACTGTGTGAATATAACAGGTAGAGTTGGTACAAACTGTGTGAAGGATAAGTGATACAACATGTGTGAAGGATAAGTGATACAACATGTGTGGGTAAGGTAACAGAAAGTGGGGGTACAATATGCAGAACTGGTACAAACTGTGTGAAGGATAAGTGATACAACATGTGTGGGTAAGGTAGCAGAAAGTGGGGGTACAAAAGGAAGTACTGGTGCCAGACAGCGAGGGTACCGCAACTTGTCTGGGTACAATAGGCATAATCAGTTCACCAGACTATGTAAACATAACAGGTAGAGTTGGTAGTATAGAAAAGCACAAGCGGTCGCATAGGCAACTGGTGAGACTAGTTTATATTAACCTAATGACACAACAGACAATGATCCCACCCTATGCTGAAGAAGGATCTGCTGTCTCACAATTCAGATCCATTCTGTAACTGATCTCTCTTGACTGTGTTCAATATTTATATATTTTCTGCCCTTTAAATGCTTTTTTTTTTTTCCTTCTCCATTCGGTTTAAAGCTAAGCTGCAATATGGGCACCTTTTCCCCCAAGACATTAGATTTTAGTAAACTCTTAATTGGTTCCTCTTTGACATCATACTGTTAGGAGGCTGGTGATTTATTCTTGTTCCATCCCCCCAGAATGTGGGCCCAGGCTGGTGATTTACCATTTTTTGTTCCCTTCAACCAAGTTGTCCCCCCATCTATTTGTGCACAGGCCTTCAACCAAGTTGTCCCACACCACCTATTTTGTGCACAGGCCTTCAACCAAGTTGTCCCATACCACCTATTTGTGCACAGGCCTTCAACCAAGTTGTCCCATACCACCTATTTGTGCACAGGCCTTCAACCAAGTTGTCCCATACCACCTATTTGTGCACAGGCCTTCAACCAAGTTGTCCAATCTACTGCCATGTGTTAGAGCTGATTCTGTATTCTGATCCCAACATTGATTGTCTCTCTTCTCTGTCCTGCCCATATCACTGATTGTCTCTCTTCTCTGTCCTGCCCATATCACTGATTGTCTCTCTTCTCTGTCCTGCCCATATCACTGATTGTCTCTCTTCTCTGACCTGCCCATATCACTGATTGTCAGTTCTGCCCATATCCTGATCTCTCTTCTCATATCACTGATTGTCTCTCTTCTCTGTCCTGCCCATATCACTGATTGTCTCTCTTCTCTGTCCTGCTCATATCACTGATTGTCTCTCTTCTCTGTCCTGCCCATATCACTGATTGTCTCTCTGCTCATATCACTGATTGTCTCTCTTCTCTGTCCTGCCCATATCACTGATTGTCTCTCTTCTCTGTCCTGCTCATATCACTGATTGTCTCTCTTCTCTGTCCTGCCCATATCACTGATTGTCTCTCTTCTCTGTCCTGCCCATATCACTGATTGTCTCTCTTCTCTGTCCTGCCCATATCACTGATTGTCTCTCTTCTCTGTCCTGCTCATATCACTGATTGTCTCTCTTCTCTGTCCTGCCCATATCACTGATTGTCTCTCTTCTCTGTCCTGCTCATATCACTGATTGTCTCTCTTCTCTGTCCTGCCCATATCACTGATTGTCTCTCTTCTCTGTCCTGCCCATATCACTGATTGTCTCTCTTCTCTGTCCCACCCACATTAGTAATCACCTCTCTTCTCTGTCCCGCCCATATTAGTGATCACCTTTCTTCTCTGTCCCACCCATATTAGTGATCACCTCTCTTCTATGCAAATTCATATTCTCGGTCCTGTGACCTCAGCAGCTCTGAAACGTGCATGCAATCAATGATTATCCAGTGCTGAACAATCTGATACAAACAATTATTTCTACATTCAAGTTTCATGACTCGACATTATTGAAGCTTCAAGTATCCGCTGAAATATTACAAATCAGCTGGAAAGACCACTCTGCTATATTTGCTGTGATATTGTTCATTCTGGAAAGAACATGCCACCAGAAGTGCATCTGCTTGTGTTCTGTAACTGGAGGAATATGAACCTGTTGGTACAGCCTGGTTGTTTTTTAAACCATTTGGGCATTCTGTGTTTATTCCTCCTCCTCCGTCTCTTACAGCTCTCATGGCTGAACCATCTGTATACATTCTAATCCAGCTACGGTGTGGATACAGTCTGTTGATCTCTCCTTCTGTAAATGACTTCACACCAGTGCTGCTCAATGAAGATTTGGAGGAGATCCCTGTTTCCTGTGGTTCTGACTGTTTGCTGGTTACCCCTAGGTCAAGGGGGCCAGTGGTTGTAAGGTTTCAGTGCAACATTTGGTACTATGGGACAGAGTTTGAGGTCAGCGACTTGGCTTTGCGTTCTAAACATGTTCTCTTTAGTCTAGCCCTCTGGGGTTTCTGCAGTCGGATGTGCATGGGGTTGTTCTTTCATGAATGTTGTGAATACCTTAGACAGTTAGGGTAAATAACAACTACTTGGTCAAGGAAAGTAGGTCATCTAATGTCGTGACAAGAACGACACAAAAAGCATTCTTTAGTCATAGCCATGTGAAGAGAGGAGTTTAAGAAATGTCTGAAAATATCAGTGGTAGAAGAGGGAGGGGCAGACTAAGAGAGATGAAGGGTGGTGGTCTAAGACAATGGTATGGAAGAATATAACCAAAGAACTGATTCAGAGTATCAAGGACTGAGATCTGTGGACATCCATGAGTAAGACTAAAACCAAGAGGACCAGCTTCATTGCACCAAGTTTCATCCTGTATGGCTCAGTCGCTCTCTACCGAATAGCAGCTGCCTGCAGAGAGCATCACACAAAGCACAAACATTGTAGCCCTAGCACAGATCCCCAGGGATTGCTTCAAAAGTTTCACTCGTAGACCGAACAGCGCGGCCGTGAAACAAACTTACTACCTTAAGAGTGCGAGGCACACAGAAGGGACATAGAAGGGACAAAGTCCGCAATCAGACAATACGTCAAGATCTTGATACCCAGCCCTTACTAACCCAAGTGGATCAGTCACAGTTACGATGGTTTGGACATGTGTGCAGAATGGGAGAAAATCGGCCACCATGGCAGGCATGGGAGGCTAAGAACCAGGGAACCAGACCTCCGGGACGACCCAGGGTGCGCTGGGAAGACAACATCCGACAGTCCCTGACTGACAGAGGACTGGAATGGAACAAAGCCAGAAAGAAAACTGCTGATAGAGACGTCTGGCGATCTCTCTGGCAAACCTCTACACCCCAAGGTAGAAGAGGAGCGACTAAGTAAGTAAAGTAAAGGCACACAGTTTGACCACCTCACTAAAAGGACACCCCCCCCCCTCCCCCCGGAAACAGACAAATGTCAGTGCCATCTGGTAAGGACGATGACGATAAAAAGGGTTTCAATGACTGCAACAGTGAAGCTCTGTAGTGAGACTCAAACCCCAACAAACACTCACCAGTCTTGGAAGGGTCATTTGGGTAGTTCTGGTGGGCATCATACGATGGAGGTAAGGCCGACATGATTGTGGAAGGCTAGAGACTTGACAGTTGCCAATCAATCTGTACAAATAAATAGCAGTCACTTTACAAACATGTCACAGTATAATAATCCAGCCATCACCAAAAAATGAAAAATTTAGGTCAAATGTCAGTCTTTTTGATCTTATCCATGCTCACCGGCTGTATAAAGTCCAGCAGAAAGTTCTGGTTGTTCCTCAATTTCTGGACTTTAGTTTTGTTCCAGAACTTTCATGCACTGTTGGTGCCTCTTTGGCGGACAGACCCCAACTTCGAAGGAAACACCCTCAAGTCAACATGTATGACATGCTTGTTTAGTAGGCTAATGGGCCAATCCCCCTACCTGTCCCTGACACGGGTTCATAATATTCTTTATTTGACAGATACTGTAAGTCTGTGCCTCGAACTACACAAATCTGACTCAGTACAGACAGGAGTTTTACCAGCTGCAAACAATTGAGCCTAGTGAAACGAACACATTGTCTTGTTGTTATCACTGTTCTGTCCCTAGGCATCAGCCACAACTTTGTAGTATCAAAAGAGTTACTGTACAATCAACTTCTTGTGCATAGCATGTGCACCAGTGCTCAGGCTGTACCACCCAGGACTACATGGCACATAGGGTTGTACTTTGTGCAGACTGATGGTAACTTCTGAGGTTAAACAGCATAAGCGGGTTAAGCACCAACAAGGAAATGAAAGTGACATTCTGAGTGTTGCATCTTCCTTGCAAGAACATACAGATGTGAGTTGTGGACTATCTCACCATCAATAAGGAAGAAAACTGGGGCTTTTAAGTTGAAATGCCATAAACAGATACTCAGAATACTAAGGACAAAGAAGAAAGGATTTACTGACATCCTAAAAGATCTGAAAATCAAGGAAGATTGGCTATTAAAGAACATCTTCTCTCAGAAACAGAAATATTCTGGCCACATCAAGTTTCATGGCAGATTTGGAAAAATAATAGCAGAAATCAAGGTACCTTAAAAGAGGAGCAGGGGCTGAACAGCACAAAGATGGGCACCAGATTTAAGTGACATCTTGAGTAGAAAAGTGCAGGAGGCAGGAGAGCTGACGAGAGACCAGGTATCTTTCAGGCAGACACTGATAATAGCCTTGTTCTGAAAGAACATATTCCATGATGAGATGATGGGTTTGTGCAGTTTGTCTGTTTAGTGGCAAGCCTTTAAGTAACAGTCTGGACAGGAGAAAATAGTCAGTCTCCCAGAAATGGTCTGCAGATTTTGACAGGTTAATCTAACCCTTGGAGTGAGTTATAATTCTTGACCTTTAAAGTTTATCCATCAAAGCTGATTTCCTAGAATTCTATAATTCTATTGTGAAACAAACAGATACACCTCCAGTACTTGAAATGCTAAACGCCTTTGTCCATGAACGTGAATTCACCTAAGTATTTTACAGTACTGTCATATGGACATGAATAATGTAGTTCTAATTATAACTTAATATAGGTCTCCTTCTCTTTTTCACGAACAGTAGTTTTTACACAAACCAAAGAAGGATTCCACATACATACATACCGATAATATATATATTTATTATTTTTTTAAACCAGCCTCTCGAGTATTTATTACCGCAAATAATACTTCTATTCTTTAACCTTCACTAACTTACCAACAAAAAATGCAATAACTATCCAGGCGAACAAACTGACAGTACTTAAACAGGATATGAGAGAAGAGAGAAAGTTAAAAGTGAAACCGCCAACAATCGCAGCAAGGCACTCGACATTGGCGGCCGGCCTGGGGTAGACGTCAGCCAGAGAATGCGGCAACATCCGCAATAAAATCTAATTATTTAGCAATTACACATCATTACACTTACACCACATGGCGAACGTTATCAAAAGAAGTACGTACCCAACAGCAAACAACAAGGGTCAAACAATCGTTCTATGACGGTGGTTTTATCTAGGATCTCGGGTGTGCGAGCAGATATCGACATCAACAAATAACAACAATGTCTGCTATAGACACGTGACCTCAAGCCAATGAAATCGCTGGGGTGATCTGACGTCACGGGGCAGGCCCAGCAAAAGGAGGCCCGGTCATAAATATGGCCTAATGGCTGAACGCGGTTTCTGGGACCTCTCCACGGTGATCCTCATCCACATGGTTGCACTTTGTGTCATCGGGTGTTTATCGCTTGTGTGATGTCCTGGTGGAGTAAAAGAAGATAGATAGTCACGTCTGGGCGAGGCGAGAGGGTCCACATGTGGGTTTGGTACATTTTAGGCGAACGCTTTTCGTTGGCTTCGAGATTTCCTAAGGAAGTCCACAGAACGTCCAATAATATAATAATATTGGGAGGAGGGGCAATGGTTAGAGTTAGTGGTAGTCGCTATTCATTTAACACTACCCCCTCCCCTTTAATATTGTTCAGTCAAGGAAAATCCTACAAAATCTCGAAGCCGACGAGATGTGGTCGTCTAACATTAAAGTACCACGTGATTTACTGCCCCATAAAACGTCATTAAAGGCTTGCATTGGAGTTGTGCTGAACTGTGTAGGTATCGCAGCCTAGCTAAAGACCACAACACAATGTACCAATCACTGATGCGAACGGAAACGATACAGAAAAAAACTGAATGGAGAACTTATGTCTACACGCGTTCTTCAACTTTAGCTGCACGCGTTTCTTTTTTCTCTTTTCAAAACATGACGTATTGCATCAGATAGTTAGTTGGCCGCAGATAGCCAGCAGCAGACAGTTGTGTAATGTCGTCACAAGTTATATATAACTATTCCTCAGTAAAGGATACAGGAAGTGAGTTTCGTGAGAGGTAAACAAATCAATAACAACCATGATGAGAACTTCTACTCCAAAGACTACTACTACTACTACTACTACTACTACTACTACTACTACTACTACTACTACTACGACTACGACTACTACGACTAATAACTACTGCTGCTACTACTACTACTACTTCTACTATATATTTGCCTCCCAACCGCAATCCCATCTCCGTCATGGTGTCATACTTCAGCATGTGTTTACAAGTGTATTTCAGATCGACTTTCCCTAAACAGGTAACATTCAAGAATCTAATTACCCTGCGTAGATTTCGTTCCCTGTCTATTTTTGCCAGGGTTGCCATCTGCTTTTTGCCACGTGCATTTGTGGTTGGGAACATGGGCACGTTTCGAGTATCCAGTAAATTAGGAGTTGAAAATCTACCCAAAGTATTTTAGGATCCTCGCCTGTGCTGCAGAGTTCGTGCACTGCGCTGAGATTCTGAGGTCAGAAGTAGAACGGAGGACTTATGGGTTACCTCTTGTACCATGATGTTGATCAGTTGTCTAAACCTAAACACGACCAGCTCCAGTCGGCCATGACCCAACCTAAAACACACGCACGTGGTTTCTATACAGGACAATATGTTTGTCGTCTTTATGGCATTGTTGTTGTTAATGTTATTGATCCAGCGGCGCATGAGCTTTCGCCCTTTGGCCCAATGACTTGTAGTGGAATTTACGTTTTCACAAGATGTTCTTTTCCTCCCCACAAGGTGTTCAACTTGTCTGGTCTCGGAGGGAGTAGCATTCTTCTAGAGAGATGATGATGGTCAACAGTTTCGTAGGAGTAGTTACATAGCTGGTACTCTGGGAAGTTTTGTGGCTGTATTCTGTTTAGATGTCTATTGAGTGGAGTATGTTGTGTTCTGAGTCTGAAGATGGTGGCCTGTTCCCTTCTTGTTAAATGGTTAATGCTGTCGTTAGGATCAGGGCCAGCTATGTGTCTATAAACCTCTCTTCCAGTATCTCCCATGGCCCATCTTTCAGCCAAGTCTCTTTGTTTATAGCTTTTATAAGTGTTTTTGCTGTCTGTAGGGTTGTCGCTGTAGTTGGTTGTTCTTGTGTTGCTCCTTTCTTTGCCAGTCTGTCAGCTTTGTCATTACCTGGTGTGCCGGAGTGGCCTGAAATCCACTGCATCACTATTCTGAGTTTGTATGAGGTAATTAGCTGATCAGCATCTAGAATTATCTTAGCTATGTCAGTTCTGCAGCGTTCATTGCCCCCCCCCCCCCCTTTCCACCGAGCTTGAAGAGCAGACATTGAATCGGTGAAGATGACAATATTTTGGGCCATTACAGTCTTTAGGTGGTATACTGCGGTTTCTAGTGCCATTATTTCAACTTAATAAATTCGTACTAGATATTAGATAGCTTATGCCATAGTGCTAGGTGTCAGATACCGTATAGCATAATGCTAGGTATAAGATACATTTTAGCGTAATGCTAGGTATCAGATACCTTATAGCATAATGCTAGGTATCAGAAACCTTATAGCACAATGCTAGGCATTAGATACCTTATAGCACAGTGCTAGGTATCAGATATCTTATAGCATAGTGCTAGGTGTCAAATACCTTTTAGCATAATGCTAGGTATCAGATACCACCAGCAATAGACCAGAAACAAGTGACAGTTCTTGCACAATTTCAGAAGCGATGCCAACCAGGTAATGTATGTTAGCGTGTGTCGCCACCACCTCAACCAAGCCTCCCCCAAACACCTATCAACGGAGTGCAAAAACCTGATAATATACACGTTGAGTCATTCTGTTTATCGCTATCTTTAAGGTATTGCATTGCAACATCTAAGCAAGTCTTATGTAAACCGCACGCCGAAACCTGGGAATTTAGGTCCTTAGATGCCCCCCCCCCACTTTCACCACCGAATATAAATTCTTGTAATATATATATATATATATATATATATATATATATATATATATATATATATATAATATATATATATATATATATATAGTCTTACATTTCAAATATGATTATTATATTTGCCATTTAATTTATTGTTATTTCGAAGGCTATTCAAAACTCAATCTCCGACTGGATGATAACAATTAACAGTTTGTCACAACGACACATACGCTCTCGTTTGTTGACGAATCGTGAACGAATCAACATTTACACTGTTATTGCCAATCTCATCAGTTGTGAAATTCGTTGTT